AGCTCACAGCAACCTCCAACTCCTGGGCTTAGGTGATTCTCTTGCCTTAGCCTCCCGAGTAGCTGAGACTACAGGCACCTGCCACAATACCCGGCTATTTTTTTGTTGCAGTTTGGCCGGGGCTGGAATTGAACCCGCCACCCGGTATATGGGGCCAGTGCCCTACCCACTAAGCCACAGGCGCTGCCCTACCACAATTTATCCAGTCATCAATTAATGGTCCTTTTCTCTCTACTTTTTGGCTGTAATGTGATGTTGCTATGAAGATTCATGTATAAGTTTTAATGTGGACGTATATTTTTAATTTTCTTAGGTATATGCCTAGAGGTGGAATTTTCTTAGGTATATGCCTAGAGGTGGAATTGCTGAGTCATATGTAATTCTGTGTCTAACTTTTTGAGAAATTACCCAACTGTTTTCAGCAATGGTTGCACCATTTTACGTTCCCACTACTGACTTATGAGTTTTAATTTCTCCACATCTTTGTCAACACTTGTTATTCTCTGTCTTTTTGATTGATTGTAGCCATCCCAGCAGGTATAAAATAGTATCTCATTGTTGGGTTTTGTTTTGTTTTGTTTTTTGGAGACAGAGTCTCACTTTGTTGTCCAAGTTAGAGTGCCGTGGTGTCAGCCTAGCTCACAACAACCTCAAACTGCTGGACTCAAGCCATCCTCCTGCCTCAGCTTCCTGAGTAGGTGGGACTACAGGCAATGGCCTCAATACCCAGCCAATTTTTCTATTTTTTTATAGAGATTTCACTCTTGACCAGGCTGTCCTTGAATCCTTTTAGCCTCCCAGAGTACTAGGATTACAGCAATGAGCCACTGTGCCTGGTCCCCATTGTAGTTTTGATTTGCATCTCCCTGATGATAAATGATATTGAGCATCTTCCATGTGTCTGTTGACCATTTGTCTTTTTATTGTTGAGTCGTAAGAGTTCTTTATATATTTTGGAGACTAGACCCTTATGTATGATATACAGATACTCCTCCAGTCTATGTATTGTTTTTTCACTTTCTTGAGTATATCCTTTGAAGCACAAATGCTTTTAATTTTGATGAAGTCCAATTTATGTATTTTTTTGGTTCTTTATGGTTTGGATATCACATCTAAGAAACCGTCACCTAATCCAAAGACATGATATTTATCCCTCTATTTCCTTCTAAGTGTTTTGTCATTTTAGCTCTCACATTTAGGTCTTTGATCCATTTTGAGTTAATTTTTATGTATGATGTGAGATAGCTATCCAGTTTCATTCCTTTGCATGTGACTTATCCCAGCACCATTTGTTGCACGTCTGTTCTTTCCCCCCATTGAAATGTCTTAGTGTCTGTGTTGAAAAGCAATTGCTCATAAATACTTAGGTTGGTCACCTGTTCTTGACTGTGACATCTTGAAATATTGTTTGGAGTTATGATGATGTAGGTAAGAGCAGAGATAAGAGGAAAGACAATCAGGTAAACAACCTGAGTCCTAAAAATCTTCAGTCCCATGAGCCCAAATTAAGGGGAGCTTCATGTGTCTTTTGGACCCAGTCTAAGCCTCTTTCTCTGCTGTGCAAGCCTTTTCCACCAGAGATCCTGGGCTCCACAACCCATCGGCCCACCTGATCTGCCTAAGTTCTGGCCAGGAAGAGCCATGGGTGAGGGGTGTGAGAGGAGGGTTGTGTGAGGAGGGGGTACAGTGGATAATTTAGAGGGTGTGATTTGTTTTAAATTATAAAACAGCAGTTTTGCATTCTTACCACTGCCCTGATAGCCTTCAACATTGTAGCCCGCAACCTGTCACACAGGTTTCTTTGTTTAAAAACTTCTAGGGTATTGTTGGAATTCAGCAAAGCCCAGGTAAACTCTGTGCCAACCCATGGACTGAGCCAAGAAACGGAGATCCCCACGCTCCAAGCCTCACTCCCCCCCCACGGCCTCAACACCAGCACACAGCTGCACTATGAGGTGCCTGCAGAGCCCTTTCCTGCCCAGGAAGCCTCTGGAACTCCAGATGGTGGCCATGAGCAGGAGCTGCATTCCCAAGCACCTGGCACCCTGGACTTGCAGCAGCTGGACACTGCCCAAGCTGTCCCTGCAGGGAGCGCCTCAGGTCAGCAGCCTTTTGGTTCTGTGAGAGAGACCACCAAAGCAGTCAGCCAAGAGAATGGCCAGCAGAAGACCCCAGGGGGTGACAGAGTTGGACTGAAGCTTGTGGTCTCCTCACCCACCAGTCCGGTGAGTGGTGTAAGCTCTTTGGGAAGAGGTCTTGGGAAATGTCTCAGAGCTGATGTAGGGTTTCCCTAGCTAGTGACCCTGAGGGGTCTTCTCCCCACTAACCTCCCACTCACTGCTTGGAGGTAGCATCATAGTGATGGAGCTAATGTTTCTTAGTATGTATGAGCCAGGCACCATGCTGATTGCTTCCCACACTGTCTCCTGTCATCTTCACATCTACCTTCAAGGAGAAACTTCTCACCTGACTGTACCACTTACCAGCATAAGGCCTTGGGCAAGTCACTTCACCTCTTTGAACCTTAATTTCCTCCTTATTCCTTGTTATTATTAATATTTTTGTAAAATACCAGGCTTTGAAAATACTCATTTTGCAACACAAACCAGGTTTTAGAACTGCACTGTCTGTGGCAGCCACTAGCCGTATATGGTGATTGCACACTTAAAATACGGCTAGTCCAAATGGAGATGTGCTGTATAAAATAAGCACTGAGGTTTGACAACTGAATATTAAAAAATGTATTGTGGCAGGCACCTGTCGTCCCAGCTACTGGGAAGGCTGAGGCAAGAAAATTGCTTGAGCCCAAGAGTTTGAAGTTGCTGTGAGCTATGACACTACGGCATTCAGCCCCAGGGTGACTGTGTGAGACTCTATCTCAAAAGAAAAAAACAATTAAAAATGTAAAATTTCTCAATTTTTTTATTGACTTACATAAAATCAATATTATTAAAATTAAAATATTTTGGAAATATTAGGTTAAATAAAATTTTAAAGTTTATTTCACCTGCTTCCTTTTACTTTTTCTAATGTGGTCACTAGAACATTTAATATGTGGCTTGCCTTGTAATTTTATTGGACAGTGCTGTTCTGAAATAAGCCACTTCAGGCCTGGGCATCTCCTGGAAAGAGCCAGGGGTAAAGAGGCTTGGGAACTACCAGCCCAGTGAAGCCCCAGTCAAAGACTGTGAACTTGAGTTTTTGGTTTTTTTAAGAGACACAGTCTCATTTTGTCCCCTTCGGTAGAGTGCTGTATCATCACAGCTCACAGCAACCTCCAGCTCTTAGGGTTAGGTGATTGTCTTGCCTCAGCCTCCTGAGTAGCTGGGACCACAGGTGTCTGCTGCAATGCCCGGCTATTTTTTGTTGCAGTTTGGCCTGGGCTGGGTTTGAACCCTCCACCCTTGGTATATGGGGCTGGCGCCCTACTCACTGTGCCACAGGCACCACCCTGAACTTGAGTTCTTTTGCCTTCTGTATTTGTTCTTGTGTGGCCTTTGAAGTTTCCCAGACAAAATTATTGACATTTACTGAGAGTTGGTAGGAACAGTATGTGTGTGGTATCTGCTCTTTCTGCAGCTCAAACCCCAGAAGGGTGAGGAAAGGCAACTGCCCCAGAATGCCCAGGGCACCTATGGGGAAAATCCACAGGCCAAGAGAGAGGTGGTGCAGTCATGATTGTTGCCTACAACAAATACCTTTACAGGTTTGAGCGCCTCTGACTCCTTCTCTCTCTCTCTCTTTTTTTTTTTTCCTGAGACACAGACTCACTCTGTTGCCCTGGGTAGAGTGCCAATGCATCACAGCTCACAGAAACCTTAAACTCTTGGGCTCAAGTGATCCTCTTGCTTTAGCTTCCCTAGCAGCTGTGACTACAGGTGCCCACCACAATGCCTGGCTAGTTTTTTTGTTTTTAGTAGAGGTCTCGCACTTGCTCAGGCTGGTCTTAAACTTCTAAGGTGAGATGATCCACCAGCCTTGGCCTCCCAGAGTCCTAGGATTACAGCATGAGCCACCTTGCCCGGCCTCTGACTCTTTCTCTTTCTGGAGTTCACAGTTAAACTACGCCATGTGTAGCAAAACAGCATCATGGAAATCAGAGGTAGGAATGCGTGTGCTTGTGTGTTTGGAAGCCCAGCTGCACTCTGGGGCTCACGTTGGGATATAGTCTTGCTTTTTCAGCTCTGTCCACACTCATCTCTCCTTTGGGTATAGCTTCTAGATCATATATCTCAGGATGGGTCCAGGGACATGAAATAAGATGGGCAGAAGCATATATACTCCAATTTTATTTTCCCGATTTTTTAAAACACTTATTTGAGATATAATTCACATATCATACATTTCACCTATTAAAGTATAATTCAGTAGTTTTCATAGGGTTGCGCAAGCATTACCATGACCTAATTTGAACATTTTTATTCCTCATAAAAGAATTGCTCCCATACCTCCCTTATTTCCCAACTCATTCCCCTTCATCTCTGGCAACCACTAATCTACTTTATGTCTCTGTAAATTTGCTTGGGGGCTCAGTGGCTCATGCCTGTAATCCTAGCATTCTGGGAGGCTAAGGTGGGTGGATTGCTTGAAGTCAGGAGTTCAGCAAGAGCAAGACCCTGTCTGTACTAAAAATAGAAAAACTGAGGCAAGAGGATCTCTGGAGCCCAGGAGTTGAGGTTGCTATGAGCTACAGTGACTCCATGGCACTCTAGCCAGGGCAACAGAGTGTGACTCTTTCTCAAAAAGAAAAAAAATATAGATAGATAGATAGGTAGATAGATAATGCCTGTTCTGGGCATGTCATGAAAATGGATCAGACAATACAGGGTTTTTTTGTGACTAGCTTTTTCCTTTTAGCATGATATTTTAAGGCTCATCCTGTCCTAGTACTTTGTTGCTTTTTTTTTTTTTGAGACAGAGTCTCCCTGTGTCGCCTTTGGTAGAATGCTATGGCATCACAGCTCACAGCAACCTTAAACTCTTGGGCTTAAGCGATTCTCTTGCCTTAGCTTCCCAAGTAGCTGGGACTACAGGTGCCCGCCACAATGCCCATCTATTTTTTGGTTGAAGTTGTCATAGTTGTTTAGCAGGCCCAGGCTGGGCTCGAACCTGCCAGCTTCGGTGTCTGTGGCCAGCGCCCTACTCACTGAGCTATGGGCACCGAGCCTACTTTGTTGCTTTTTATTGCCAAGTAGTATTTCATTATATATTCCATTGTGTGGCTCTATATCACACATCATGGGTTTGTTGGTTTGTGGACATTGGGTTATTTTCACATTGGTGCTATTATAAATAATGCTTCTATAAACATTCATATACAAGTTTTTGTGTGGACATGTTTCTGAATCTCTTGTACTATGCATGCATACTAGGAGTAGAATTTTTAGATCATATGGTAGTTATTTTTAACCTTTTGAGGAACTGCCAAACTGTTTTCCAGAGCAACTACCCCATTTTATATTCCTACCAGCAATGTATTTCTCCACATCCTCACCAACAGTTCTTATTGCCTCATTTAAAAAAAAATTATTATACCTATCCCAGTGAGTAAAGTTGTTGAGAATTTTTTAATGTGCTTACTGGCTATTTGGGTATCTTCTTCGGAGAAATATCTTTGCCCATTTTTTTTTTTTTTTTTTGAGGCAGAGCCTCAAGCTGTCCCCCTGGGTAGAGTGCCGTGGCATTACAGCTCACAGCAACCTCCAACTCCTGGGC